TGTACAGGAGTTTTTATACCCCTCTTGACACGGTGAAAAACTCTGGGATGGGCGCACACATCTATCCTTGTGGGCAACCCCGCCTCTTCAGGTCATACTAAATAGGAGAAAGTAACTTTGAATAATGTAAGATGTACTTTCAAATTTTCTATCCCCCCGAACATTTGAAATATCATAGTACTACAAAGGTATGGTTTTCATACTGAAAATAAATAAATTCACTATAGGCTTCCCAAGTCGTAAAAAAAAGAAGACAAACTCGTTGGAATTTATTGTATGCTTCGGTTTTGGAATGTCACATGAATGGATGACGTGACGGATCGTATATTTTTAGCGCAGCTCAATTGCTCCTAGAGGGGTCGCTGAATTGATGTCCCCACCCAGTATCCGCCATATTTGTTCACCGGTCCGGATGCTAGCTTTGGATTATAACGAAATAGTGAGCTCCCGACAAGTAAGTACTCATTATTCCGATGCCTTAAGCCCTACGAAGACTTGAATTTGCAATGTGAGAATTGTGCATTCACAAGATCGTGAGATTATAGAATTTTCCCCCTTTTTCAAACTGGGAATTGCGAGCGCCTTCCGTGTTTCCTCGTCCAACTGCTGTATCCATCTTATCACGAACTTCTATTCAATGCGCTGGCGCAAGTCTGGATGAACACAAACGGACTAACTTTACCCCTAGACTGCAGCATAAGTGACATTGTGAGTTATAATGTGTCTGTTTAGCTATTTTGTTGCGTACAGGATTGGAATTAAGTGGTAAAAAGTTACCTGGATGCTGCATTTTTCCACAAAAGAGCAACATGGATTTGAATGAGTGACAGGAAAGATAGAGGAAGGAGGCCGGTCTCCGTTACCCCTCCCACCTGCTTACAGCGAGTTTAGAGGCTCGTCTAGTGATGAACCGCCTCACAACGTTGAGCCGTCTGCTGGATAGATCTAGAATCTAGTTAGATGTATTCTATTCCTGCCTTTTGAACACCCTGCTACTTTTCTAGGTCTTGAAATCTAATTTAGTTTGCCTAATAATAACAGAAGATGAAAATGAAAATGAGATTGTGATGATGGAGTGATGGGTAGATGTACGTATTATTACATCTTCCCTTCAACTTCTTCTATCCCAGTTAGGCTACTGTCGATATTCTAGAGCACTTGGGACACTTGGGTGCCAAAAGTAAACTGGAAGATGGCCGAAATTTTAATTCTAGATGGGTGGATCGCACAACGCATTTTGTGGATCCATGGAATGAGCAACATCTGTAGATCGGTGGATCGCGCAGTCCTTTTTTGTGGATCCATCTTATAAAACCGTTAAGCTATACCTAGATCTAGATCTAGATCTAGATCTATAGGCTATACTATAATAAAGGGCCACCTCTATTCTCACCCGGGGTGAGAATAGTGCAGGCGGGTCTTGTGGCTATTCTCACCCGGTGCGCGTGTCAACAAATTTTGCGTTCACCCTAAACCACAGAATTCTACACTGTGATAAGAGAAAAATTGTAGAATTCTGTGCTGTGAACAAACGTTCCATTACAACAACTGTACTTTTAGCCTACTAAAAGCGTACAATTTTGTCTGTGGGCAGGGGAGAGAGAGAGAGAAAGAGAGAGAACAAAACAAAATGGCGACCCGCGTAGTTCGGCTCGATTCGAAAAGTTAAATAGCCGTAGCATCTTTGTAGACAACCAAATTAATTTACTTTTGTGTTTTAACATCATTTTTTAACTTTGTTTTGGTCAATTTGATCGTCCACACCGATAGACAGTATTCAGAAAGAGACAGAGAGAGAGAGAAGAGGGGAGGAGTAGATCTTGCGAGAACTTTCGGGCGGGTGAGAATAGCCACTTTCATAATAAAGAATCTAATCCAGTTTCTATCTAGAAAATCTAGATCTAATCTAGATCTAGATTCTAGATCAGTTATTTAGTCGTACACGTATGATTTTTTGGTATTTTTTTACTTTCCCTCCCGTCTCACACTCAGCTACCAGTTGTCTCTTTGCTACTAAATATTGATGCGCTGAACACGAATATCAACTTCATTTCCGTAGCAAATTAATGGTTTTTGAAATATTTGATTGTTTTTAACCGAGATAGACATGCTTTGGACCAATCGGGGGGTTCCAGGGGGGCCTGCCCCACTGGGGTAAAAGAAAATCTGGGGGGTTACAGGGGGGCATGCCCCCCTGTTTTTACACCCATAATTTGACATTTTACAGTTAGATTTGAAATTGTCTTGAAAATAATTGATTTGCGACAGTTTTAGTGGCTTTATGTGTGATCTGCAGCAAACAGTACAGCAGTTTGACCCCTGAAACAGTGCATCTGTGTGCGGGAGTGAAAGTAAAAATTTACCGAAAGTGCAATGTCAACAATATAGATATGGACGTTCATCGGATGTTAACACCTTAGGGAAGATTGAAGAATACTGGACCACTCGTACATTATAATTATTGCATGAGAAAGTGGGGCGGGGGTTTCAGGGGGGTCTCCCCCCTGACAAAATTTTAATGAATAGATCTACCGGTCCGAGATTCTCCATTGAGTGATATTAAAAACGGGAAAATCATAAATTCCTAAGGTTGAGACATAGGCAAAGTCAGTCCGCTGGTCCGGTATTCTTCAATCTTACCAAATCTTATTTCATAACATAGGACAGACAGCACATCTGAACTTCCTAGTCATGACTCTTGATTCTAGTATTTAATGGTTTTATAAGAATAAGATGGATCCTCAAAAAAAAAGTGCTGCGCAATCCTTCGATCTACAAAATGCGTAATGATCGTGTTTCGCATTCCATGGATCCGCAAAACGCGTTGCGAGATCCACAGATAGCGCAAATTGACAGAAAGCGCCTATAGATATATTCACTAAGTGTTTAAAGTTCCTGCCTGAATAAGTTGAACTTCAAAATAAATGTAGCACACGTTATCTCAATCGCACCCAGTGAGAGTAGGCTATATAACTATATTTTTAAGAGAAATTCAGTACGATAAATATCATCTCATTCTCATCATTGTGCATAAAGTTACTGAAACTAAACTAGATCTAGATCTAGTCTTGAGCCAGCCCACCATGTTTTATTGGGTGACATTGTATTGTTCCATCAATTCCATTTCCATGTTGTAGGCTATTCACTAAAACCCACTGTCTTTTTTTTTTGTTTTTGGTATAAAATTTCCCCTCCTATTTCTGCCTTCATACTGTCCATTCTAATCTAGATCTGATGTAGTAAGCAGACATCAAAGATTTGATTGAAAGGATTTTGTACCCTGGCACTGGCCTGTTTAAATGCAGGTGGCATGGCATTGTTTTTGTGAGTGCAATAGTTTTAGGCATGATATTTAAAGTGTTTTTTTACTTTATACTGCTGTCCTGTGGATGTTATTAATGGCAGAGTTATGTACAAAGAGGCCAGGAAGAGGGTATGGGACTATGTATGGTACCAGTGAGGGGGGTGGGGGAGGGGTTGCATGCCTCCCTGAAACCCATAAAGCCTGATATGTTGTTTATAAAACATAAAATACCTTTAAAAAACGTGTAAATTAGAGAGGGTAATAAATAGTTGAAATTTAGTAAAACAAAAAAAATGAACAAGAAAAGTGTGAAAGTAGAATAATGCCTTTGCATACACGCCAGTATTCAGGTCCCAATTCTTCCCAGCTGGATGTCTCCATCAGTTCATGTTCTTCGATCAGATTTGAACTTTTTCCATTTAGTCAATGCTTGGACTTTCATCTCAGTTGTCTGTCCATAGCATATAGGCAGTTATGGGGGTGCCTTATTTGTACATGTTTCACTGAATAGCCAATGTTTTACTACGAGTTGTAGTAAACGAGATATAGACTCTATGTTTGAAATGGGAATCACAAGGCTAGGCACAGGAAAAACTAAAAACGTCATCCTTTGGGCTTGTAAAAATTTTTTTTTTTAAATGCTGCCTACTACTCTTTCTGGCTTGTTATTGTTTTATGTTACTTTTCACTTTTTCAAGTTAAAAAAAATTTGCAATCCTTGGAATATTTCCTTTTTTCTTCCCTTTATTCATTGTTCACCATCAAAATTCAGAGCATTTATATGTTGCTTATATAAATTACCCTAGGATTGAAGAGCCTTACCAGTACCATATTTTGTTTTCCCTTTTGTAACGTGTAAGGATCAATGGTGTGGGGCAAAGTAGATTTTTAAAAAAATGTTATAAAAACATCCTCTGCCTATACAATCAGTTCTCATGTCCTGCACAACTGTCCCTGGGATTTGTGAGAGCTGAAGATAACTTAGATAACTAAATTTTCTCTGCAAGAAGATCAAGGGATTGAATGGCATGTCTGCCGAGCAGTGTTTCACGACTAACAAGAAACATCCTCCTTGTTGAATGATATCAGGTGGTGAGGATATTACATTAGTTTTTAAGCTTGTTGTTTCATGGAGATTTCTCGATGGATTTATTATAAAGTTTTACCATGCCAATGAACTGTGTTACTGGATCATAATGTGAGCTCAACGATATTTCACGTCAAAGGAATGGTCTGTCTCATCAAGACTTCACGAATGGTGTGGATTATTTCTCAAGAAAGTGGACACGGACTGTTCTTCAGGTGTACCTGTTGTGAGGATTATGATTTTTCAAACAATTGGAGGATTATAGTACTGATGGTGTGGACTGAAGCAATGCATTCCGTGATGTACAGTTGCAGTTTGCCAATTTCGTGGTTTCCAGGATTGTCGCATCGTGCCTGTCATAATACCTTCTCGATAGAAAACAGTTGTTTCTGATCGTGCATGCAGTCATGCCTTAAGATAATTTTTGTGCCCCTGAAATTGTTGTATGGGAGTTTAGGTACTTTTGATGTGGTGTTAGAAGGGGTTTTTTCTTCAGTTTTTTAACTGTTTTCTTTTTCATGTTGTTTGTTGCAGATAAATTAAACAGCAGTAGTTGCAGTGTGAAAGTCACCGAAATTTTCTGGTCTTGTCGGCACCACAGGAAGCAAGATGCCGCGCCCAGTAAGTATTTATCTGACCAAGTTTCAAATATTCACTTTTGTGGTCAAGTTTTTATTAACGCTGAACTGTGAAGTGGTAATTGTTTTAACAACATTGTTGTTTGCATGTATGTCATGAAGAGGAGCTTAGAAGTTGTAAGATCCACTGGTTCTCTGTTGGGGGGAGGGGGTTGATTTGTGCTTTTTGACCATTCATTCTAGTGGGGGCTGTTCCTGTTTATTTTGTGATTGTTGGAAAAATAACTTTGGAGTTTTGTAACCAAAAAAGTGATATTGTATTGTTTGGTGATGTCCTTTTTGGGGGGTTAATTTTTTAGGTAGTACTTTCTATCTGAATGGTCTTCAAGACCATCAACTCTAGTGCATCTGTATTGTTGTCAAAAGAGTCATGTGTGTTTCCTTGCTTGTGGACTGCAATGTCTGTTTCCTCAACCGGGGTGAACACAGTATTGTGACGCTTTTGCTTAAAAGTCTGCAGAACATTTCCTGTGAATTCCTGTTTTAAAACGTAGGACATAGACATAATTATTTGTCTTAGATTTTTATCCTGTTTTGCAAGTTATTTCAAGATGTACCATTTTGGGATTTATGTTTAAAATCGGCCCTAATTTGAATACTGCAATTGTTGATCATGTGCCAGAGGTTCCACTCTTGACCCACGGTCTTGATGTTTATAGTTTAAGACTTGTGTATGTCATTGTTGTCCTGCAGGGGTTATGACATTACGACTCGTTGCTTGCGATGCTATACGTGCAAGTGAAGAGTAGGCCCTATTGTTCATCATTGTCAGGAGGAAATTGAATTTTGTGATAATTACTGTGTCATTTTTGTCTGTCTACAGCACATCAATGTCCGTGTAACCACCATGGATGCTGAGCTGGAGTTTGCCATCCAGCACAGCACCACTGGCAAACAGCTCTTTGACCAGGTCAGTGACGGATATGGTGGCTCTCGTGGCCTAGAGGTTAAGGTGTTGGCCTCTCATTCAGAGGATCCGTGTAGCGACGGAAATATTTTCTTCTCTAAAATTGTCTCTTTTCACCTCCTTTCCTGCTCTCTAGCAATGTTCTGTCGTTTGCTTTTGTCTGTACTTTCTCTCCTCATCCTGTCGCCTCCTTTTCCCCCTCCTCCGGGCTTCTGACTCTTTCTGAAGCCTCTCTACTGCTACTCCCTAGCTCCTTGTTACTACTCTTTCAGCCATACCCCTGATCTTCTGGTAGGAAAGATGTACACCTAGCCTTCTTGGACAAGGGCGAAAAGTCTCGGGAGGTCCCGTGCGCAAGTTGCGCAGGTTATAGATGGCTTGGTGGTCTAAAATCGATAAGAGTTGGCTTTGGCCACCGTCCGGGCAAAATTCAAAATTTCCTACCGACTGAAAATGTTAAATGTGTCCTGCGGGCTCATATGGCCTTATGCAGTTGCGAGGGGGAATGCAAGCTTGATTGTGAAGTAGACAGTAATGTTGATAGGTTTGCCTAGTTCAGCTGCAGTGTTTATATATGTAGTACACTCCAATGGGTTTTTTGTGTTTAAACAAGCTCTCTGTGTTGTATTTTTTATGTCGGCGTGCTTTACAATTTTACGTTATCTCCCTGTGGAGAAACTTGAGAACTAGGTGTCCAGAGACAGGGATTATAATCTTTTTGGGGACATAATCAGTACTTGAGTGTGCTGATTTAATAAAGAGTTAAATGGTGGTTTATTCTTCTTACCTTTGGAGATGTACACAAACGAACAAATCAGATATTTTTGTTTATTCAACTGAACTGATAAATCATGCTGTCTTGTTAAGGCTCGCCAAAGTGACCACCAACCCAATAGCTCATTTAATTCATGTAAACGGAAACAGGTTAAGTTTAGTGTGAATAAAAGTGGTGTGTGCCTGATAAACTGCAGCTTGTATCAGATGTGTTGTTTGATTTTAATTTTTTGTGCAACAGTATTCATTCACCTTTCTGGTGGGGCCTGCGGTTTCTTTTTACTGGGTGAGATAGAGAGGGTTTCTTTAAAGCCAGAGACTAAAGACATTTGAAGCCAGTTCCAGCGTGAGTGATTGTAGTAGAGATGAGACCTTGCATGTTTGTCATTTTTGATAGAATGCCCAAATGGAACTGTTGGTGATATAGAAGACCCACTCCCAATGAGTGTGCGGTTTTCATAAAAGTCAGATGTAAACTATTGTTTGTGTTGTGTTGAAGAATATGGATAGGGAATTAGAAATTTATTATAATAGCTTCTTGAATATGTTTTAGATTCATGATCATGACTGTTCCTTCAATTTCTGATGCATCTTATTCTTATGTTCATTGGATTTTCTTTTTTACCCTCAGGTTGTGAAGACCATTGGTCTCAGAGAAATCTGGTTCTTTGGCCTTCAGTACGTCGACAGCAAAGGTTACAGCACATGGCTCAAACTCAACAAAAAGGTGAGTGCGGTGTGGAATGTTGGGTGATGTTCCTTGTTAGTGGCTGGTGAGGTGGGGCTGCTTACAATTTCTACGTCTTTTTTGCGATATCTGCATGTCATCTCATTTTTCCTGTGTACCGAATGAAAGTTGCCCAGTAGGTTACTGTCCTTTTTAAGTGCAAAGAAAGTTAAATTTGAAAGTTTTGATGCATGGAGATAATTGTTATGGGTGTATATGTTGCCTTTTTGCTATATTTTGGGAAGGAATTTTTTTTTTAAATTATTATTTTTTAAAATACTAGTTATAACCAGTCTGGTCTGGAGAGAGGGGGGGGGTTAAGGGGATACTTCATATGGGTGGTTGGAAGGTACCATAGGTAGTTCCTGCTTTACCTTGCCTCTAATGTTTTTGTTTGTCCAGCTTTGTTTTTCTCTGCACTAAATGACCATTAAATGTGTTCACGGGCTTCTCTCTACTCAACTTGTTTGCTTCATAGTTACTTCTGATACTTTTTGGGAGAAAGCAGTTTGAATCTGTATACATGACACTCGCTTGTAATCTTAATGTGATTACCACCTTTTTTTTCTTTTGGTTGTTTTCTAGGTGATGGGTCAAGATGTCAAGAAAGAGGTGCCTTTGCAATTCAAGTTTCGAGCAAAATTTTTCCCAGAAGACGTTTCAGAGGAGCTCATTCAAGACATCACACAGGTGACTGCCTTTGGCTTATGTACACACACACACACACGCACACTGTACATCATAGGGAAAGTTATATCTGTTTGGGTTTATTTTCGGGGGAAGGAGGAGGAAAGACATTGTCATATTTCCTTGTTTCTTTCAGTCATTTTAAAGTTTGTTGCTCTTTTGAAAAGATCAACAAGTATAAATAGACTTTGGCACGTCTTGAGTTTAACGTTATTTATCCTATTTTTGTCTGTACGGTGTTGAGTCGGAAGTAAGTTCATTTGTCAGAATAAGGATTATACGGGGTGCCCCATACTTGTTTTGTCGTGGAGGGAGGTCAGTTTGAGGATTATAGACTAGCATCAGTCAAGCTGTTTTTGATGAAAACGAGGATGGTTCGCGACTTCTTGGTCATCCTTCATAGTGGAGACTGAGCAGGAACAGAGATCAGTATTGTGGTCTCCAGTGATGACTAGTGATGGTGTCAGGAGACCATTCCCAAAGGGGGGGGGGGATATTAGCATGTTCTTATGCACAATGAATTGTAAATGGGCTGATTTATCAATGTCATGCTCATACTGTGCTGGAACAACATAAGGGGAACTGCTTTTTCTTTCCTCTTCCTTACTATCGTCATTTTTCTCTACTTCTTTTGTATGTTTTTCACTGCTGTTTCCGGGGTGCCTTGATACAGAGCTTCCAGTCTTCCGCAATTTTGCGGATTTCCACAAATTAGCAGAATTCCGCAAATGGAAAAATTTCCGTAAAAATTTGTGCCCCCAAAAAAAAAAAAATTATTTTCAAAAATGCGAAATACAAAATTTCCATTATTACCAATAGTCAACAAAAGCCAACACATACCGGAAGTGCTCTTTTATTTGAAAGTATAGACAGTGTCTTTCACTTTCACTTTCTAAAGCTCAAGAATCAGAGCACCAGCTCTGTAAACAAGAGGAAGAAATGACGATTGTGGTTCTAGATCTATCGATCTTGGGCCTTCCAAGAAAAGAAAACTCTAAAGAGAGCTTGATTTTTTTTTTTTTTACCAGACTTGTTTATTTGTAAGTAGTGTTGTGGATTTAATTTGATATAGATATAGATCTAGCTGTCCAGTTATTTAGATCTAGATATCTAGATCTAGACTAGATCTAGATCTAGATCAAGTCAAGGTGTTATACTGGATTCTGAATCTAGCTAATCTAGACCTACACCTTATGATGATTAGTGCAAAAAAACACAAGCAGAAAAAAGTTGAACATTAACTGTCAAGTTTTATAGATCTAGTTGTGGATGTACAGTATCTGTACAATGGAGAAAGCATGGCTTTGGATTTGGAAATATATGGATTAACACAAGCAGAAAATTATGTAGGCTAGATCTAGATTCTAGGTCTATGCAGTATGCAAGGTGTGGTTTTTTTCTCACTTATTTTCTTGTTAAATTTAGGCTTGAATAGCCAGAAATGGCATACTTAGGATGCCCTGAAACCAAAAATTATCAAACGTAAAGGGGACGCTGGCCCCCTTCAACCCCCTGCCAGGGCTCCGCCCTGGACCCGTCCGCCCTGGCCCCGATAATCCTCGAAAAATGACATCAGCTGCTGGAAAAGCTCTGTTGGTAGTTGAAGCAGACTTTGTGCTGCTGAGGCTAGAGAGGTTAGCAGAGTTAGCCTGATTCCCTGTTTAGACTTTTCTGTTGACAATCTTCCCTTGGTGCTCATATGACCGTATGCAGTTGCGAGCACCGTAAAACCATGCTAAAACAAAAGTTGTAAATGTTTGTTTTTTTCTGTACCAATTGTCAGGCATTTTTCAGCTCTGTTCCAGTTAGTCCCTGGAATCTTAAGCTAACATTTGTATTGTAGTTGTTTTGCAGTTAAGGTAACTGTGTGTAAAATAGGAGGTATTGGATTCTCTCAGAGAAGTGTCCCATATAGTTGGAACACAAATTGAACATGATTATTGATTGCAGTGTCAATGTGTGAGCAGCATGATACTTCAGTAGCTGACCGATTGTCTTGTATGTGAATTATTTGTTCCAAGGTGTCCTTGCTTCATTTGTCTTGTTAGTTCTGTGAATGGTTCCACTTGAGCCTTTCAAAAGCAAGAGCCTTGAATTGGGTCAGATTCGTTCAAGATGAAAGTAGACATTACTCCTCCTTGGACTGAGAGGCAAAAGGAGTAAGTTCTTGACTGTCTTTTCTGCAATGTTTTAGGGTATAGAGAAGCTTTGCACAGAGAATTGTAAGGGAATCTCAGTTTAGAGCTTCTTTTTTTTTATTCTGTTGTTCTCGCACAGCTCTGTCAACTTTGTTGTTGTGTTCCTCAGAAAATGTTCTTCCTGCAAGTGAAAGAAGCAATCCTGTCAGACGAGATCTACTGTCCGCCAGAGACGGCCGTGCTCCTGGCTTCCTACGCCTGTCAGGCCAAGTACGGAGACTTGACCAATGATAACCCTAAGCCTGGCGCACTGGCCAATGACAGGCTGCTACCTCAAAGGTAAACTGCACCTCAGTGTTTTATTTCTATGGGAATGACTGGATTCAATAAACTCGGGTAGGGGCTTGATGAAACCAGATCGGAGGCTTTCTTGCTAAGATGCACTGGTGATAACATTGGAAGAGTCAAAGTATGTTTAGCTTTCCTGCTGAAGTCCACTGGTTTTGTTAAGATTGTCGTTAATTTGTGGGGGGGGGTGTTCCCTGGAGCGCGTTTTTTTCATGCTGTTCTCGAAGTACAATTTGCGCGTTCTGCTGTATCATTTAATCTTGACGGGTGCTGTGATTTTAAGTATTCTCCATCTGTGATGGATTCTTGATTACAATGGATGGTAAAGGGCTTCTGAAGCTGAACTTATCTGTTATTTGTTTGAGATGAATACGTTTAGTGTGGTGAAATTATGAATAAATGCTGATTACGTTAATGTTAACAATTTGGGCAGAGTTGATCAATTACAATGGAAGTTTTTTTTCTTCCGATGTTACCCTTTCTCTTATGTTTGCGTTAACATTTCCCCTAATGTTCGCTTCCTCTTTATCACTAAAGTACACACTCTCTTTCCACACTATTGTGGATTTCACAATTGATAATAAATTGTGTTATTTCTTTCCTCAGAGTGTACGATCAACATAAATTGTCCAAAGACCAGTGGGAAGACAGGATAAAGAGCTGGTACGGTGAACACAAAGGCATGCTCAGGTAAGGAGGCTTTGTACAGTGCATATATCCCCATTCGACAGCAAGCTCTCTGCGCTTAAATAATTTGTTCAACACTGTATGTTCTCTCAAGATCATAGTCGTCTCAGATTTGTAGACTTTTATTATTGACCATTCCTTTTTTGTTTCCAGTATTGTTACTCTAGTGCGTTTCTGTGCAAGTGGTAATGTAGAATTGGCGGCAAAACAATAGAGATCAGAATTACAAATTTTGTGCAAACCTGTTGTTCAGTTCAATCGCTTGTTGTAAACTCAGAAGGCTTGCCAGCAAATTGTTATGACTATTTTCTGCTGAAATTCACACTCTTGTTTTTTTATTCTCTTTCAGGGAGGATGCAATGATTGAATTTCTGAAAATCGCCCAAGATTTGGAAATGTATGGAGTAAATTATTTTGAAATCAAGAACAAAAAAGGCACAGATTTGTTACTAGGAGTAGACGCTCTTGGTCTCAATGTCTACGAAAAAGATGATAAGTGAGTACTGCTTGTCTCTTATTTGTATTGCATGTTATACTCAGGGTTTTGGGGGGGGGGGGGGATTACAAAAATATTGTTTGGCACACATATAGAGTGAAATGGGCAAGATGTAGTAATCTTATTGTTAGTTACAAATATTGCAATGTAATATGTTTAAAATTCAAAGAAATACTTATTTAAGGGAAAATTTGGGACTTGAATAATCTGTACACAATGTGTGTGCTAGGCCGTATATTGGTACTTTTGGGAGATTTCTAGAATGTATGATGTGTGGGTCTTAGAATCTTTCCATCTTTTTATTGGTTTTGGTCTTTTTCATCTATGTACAGCAAACTTGTTGATTTTGCTTTCTTGCTTACTCAAACCTCTTTTAAATGCTGAAAACTTATTCCAAATTGCATATTAGTATCCTCTTGCTTGTGTTACTTTTTATTTTTGTGATGCATGGTCCTTTCATGATCTGCCAAATTGAGTCTTTGCTGACTGGCAATCAGCTGGTTGGTTGCTGTCATTGTCTTTGGTATGATGTGGTTAACCCTATCCGTATGCCATTGGGTCATTTTGTACCCCCGGGGTTGTATTCTTCACATTTTAGAATACTTGTAGTGGGAAGGTGTCTTTGAAACTTGCAGTATTTCTCAAATAATAATTTTGACAGACTGCTATGCCAAGCGTACCGGTTGGATTAACGAGTAAATTTTTTCTTTGGAAAGAGATGGCACTGAGTTCCCTACGTCGTATGGATACGATAGTAAAACACAATGTACAGATAGGGTTGAAGTCTTCCTCCTGGCAACCTTGGTGTTCTTTGTGGGGGTGTGGGCCCTACTTGTTTTATCATTTATTGATGGTGGTGTGAAATCAAATAATGTCAGAGGAGGCACACTTGTGCATACACTGTATGGTTCAGAGAAGGTGGGTGGTTGACTGGTGCTCTGTTGTGGTGGGCTCCTTCCTTCCTGTCAAACATCAATCGTCCTTTCCTCTCCTTTTTCTTTTACCTTATGCAGTTGCGAGCGCCGTAAAACCCCATACTAAAAAAACTTCTTTGTTTGTTGCCATCTGGTAATACCTTTAATCTTTGTAACTTTTGAGAACTATAAGTTGTCGTAAGTGCTGTAAATTGTAAAACTGTTTCCTGAAATTGAAAAGCACAGGGCTGAAGCTTGTCATAATCGGTGCCGTTGACAACATGGACACAATGCAGGGCTCTGTTTGTGAAAGATTCTTACTCTTAGCACGATTCTTGTGTGGTATGCTTTCTTTCGAGGACCTCTGGTGTATTCTCTCACTCGGTGTTTTATCTGTGGGTGGTTGTGGGGAGCTTTGGTGTGGTTTGCATCTATTTTCTTTATCTCTTGTCGTGTTTTTAAAAGTGTTGGTTACTTTCTTGTAACACCTCTAATCCTCGGCACTTGTATGAAATGACCTTAAAGTTATTGTGTTGCAAGTGCCGTAAAACACTAAAACGTGCCTGTTTTGACACTGGACAGTTTTATACACTCAATACTGTTTAAACACAAACTTCTTTCACAAAGTAAGATGTTGCTGTTCTTCAAGACTGTGCTAAAATGCTGAACTCGTACATCTTTTTGCTTTTTCCTTTTTTCAGATTAACCCCAAGAATAGGCTTTCCATGGAGTGAGATCAGAAATATATCTTTTAACGATAAGAAATTCATCATCAAACCAATAGACAAGAAAGCCCCAGTGAGTTTTGCAAATGTCCATGTTTTAAGTGTGTCTGTCCTTTAATTGTTGTTCTTGCTGTTGTACTTTGGTTGTATTACAATATAATAGCTGTTTGCTCTATTATGAATAAATGCCAACTCAAACATATATTTTTTTGTCTTGGAATTAATAAGTCATAGCTGCATATTGTAAAGATAATCTGCTAAGTAAGAAAAATCCTCCCAAAAACGGGACATTTCTATTATATTAGGGACAATTTGCAGCTTTATGTGTCTTGTCTCCATATCCCACAAAACAAAGCCACCCTCTCACCTACTCATTGGTCCAAGGATGTGGGAAAGAAAACTTTTGGCTCATTGAATATAATGTTTTGTTTCACCAGTAGCCTACTGTGAAGGCAGGAATGAATGTTCGGCAGGAATGAATTGTGAAACAGCCCAACTTTTTTTGGTATTAACCAGATCTGCTGGAATTTTTAAAAATCATG